AAAAATGTATTTACCGAATGCTAATATACTTCTGAGGGTTAAAAGAGTCCCTCGGATTAAACTTTCATCAAGCGTAGAAAAATAATTTTGAATTCATCATGTTGTGCTATTCAGGCACCTACTCAAGGTTGTTGTATTTATATGCTGATGGGAGTTTGAGACATTTTTGCAACAAAATGAACGTGCAGAGAGAAAATTAATCAATTTGTTTTAGCAGGATTTCTGTCATATGTGGTTAGGGTGATTACATGCAATGCCAACAAAAGCAGACTGCCCTTACTTTTCTTGGTTACAGAGCGAACAGCCTGTCCTTTTATAGCTGGTAGGCTACGAGTACTGAAAAAAAAGGCTTTAATCAATTAGAGAGAAATGTGTTTGGCAGGGTTCTACATTTACAGTCTCCCCATGTTTCCTCTTTTTATTTGCTTGCTTAGGAGATAAGCTAAAAGAGGCAGTAACCACTTCAACATTTAAAGCATTATTTATTCCCTTAAATAAGGAGAAAACACAGGTTTACTTTATGAATGATGATTCTGGCAGTAGGCTTTTTGGAATTATTTTTTGTTCATCCGTCAACAATGTATGTGGTTGTTTCAACACAAATGAAAAGGGAAAGAAAGTAGAGGGAATGTAAGCAACACATTATAACTTCAGTTAAATCAAACTTCTGTGAAATCAAACTGACTACTTAGTAAGTAACATTGAAAAATAATAAATTTTACATACTGTTGTGCAAATGGAATAAGCAACAGATGAGAATTATTAGCAATCAGTAAGACACACAAAATAAAGGACTGGTTCTGCAGGTGAAGACCACAGACCCATCTATAGTACGTCTGCTTTCTGATTTATGTTTTCGTCAGTTTTGAATGTTGGTGGTGCTTTCACACTTGTGGTAGCATGAGACAGATTCTACAACCCACACAAGTGGCTCAGGTAGTGCAGCTCATCTAGGATGGCACATCTATGCGAGCTTAGGGTCTAGAGGCTAGAGGCGCTACCAGGAGACAGGCCAGTTCACCAGGAGATGTGAAGGAGGCTGTTGGACGCCAACAACCCATCAGCAGCACTGCTACCTCTGCCTTTGTACAATGACCTCCGATAGGCCAAAAATGTGCAGGTGTCTGCAAACACATACACATACTGTAGAACCCAACTCTATGGGGATAGTATGAGGGCCAAATGTCCACAGATGGGGGTTGTGCTCACAGCCCAACACTATGCAGGGAGCTTGATCTATGCAAGAGAACACCAAGATTGGCATATTCATCAATGCCGTCTTGTTCTCTTCATAGATGAAAGCAGGTCAATTGTGGAAGGGTCCTTCCAATAGCCCATGTCAATAATTGAGGACTCACCTGCAAACTGTTGTTAGGTAAGTGTTTCTGCTTATGTAACTTTTTACTTATTGTGTGAGAGACGAGAAAAGAATGGTGAATGAATGCAAACTGATAATGTTTTTAATCCTACCTAAAGGACAGGGACTTTGCTGTGCAGTTGCTAACTACATGAAATACCACATAACTAACATGGTATGCCCTGACGGTCCATCTTTGGGGCCCCTTCAATTCAATATCTACATGGTCCCCTAACATGATTGTTAGGTTCTTTGGCTTCTCTAAATTCTCCTTAGATGTGAGTGTGTGGGTGAATGGCTGTTTGTCCTGCTTGTCTCTGTGTTGCCCTGCGATGGACTGGCGACCTGTCCTGCTTGGGATAAGCATGACAGAAAATGGATGGATGGATTCAAATACAACAACTAAGCAGACAATGCACAGCCTGACACTATGGTGTCAACCGGTGACTACTCCTTCATCAAACACAAATGAAATATGGAGGAAGCTTCTGTGTAGGCAATGTCACAGAGCCATACTAGATAGAGCTGCCTCAGAGAATCCTAGAGTTAGTTTTAGGTTGGATTTTAGATATTTGCACTTCACAGATTCAGCAGCTTTATGCTTCTGGCTGATCTCAAATGGGCAGTCTGATTACTCCTGTCTGGCTCCTCTGTCATCCCACATACAGTGGTTCTTGTACGGACTGTCAATAAATATCTAAAGCGAACACGCTTAAAAATCCACAATTAATAACATTCATGTTGTCACCTATTAACATAGAATTAATGTGCAATCATTATTTTAGTCAAGAAAGAGAAGCCTTGTTACCTTTTTCATTTTCATTTTACTAATGTGAAATAAATATGCTAGTCTAGACAGATATCAGACTGGGTTTTATTTGACTTCAATGCATTTTCTATTTTTTATTAACTGTTATATTGAAGACAATCATAATTAATTTTTAAATTTTCATTATTAAAAAATATTCACTTTACTGTTAGCTCCTAAGCAAACTACTGTAAAGTAGGAGGAGTGATCTGGCAGGAACACATCAGTTTCTCAGAGCTTACTAAGAAGCGTAGGGATGGGTAAAAATTATACCCAGTTTAAACCTGAGTAAGATGCTGACACTGTGTGCCATGTTACCAGTGTACATGTGGAAAAGCCAAGAACACAAAAGTGAAATGCTTTGGTTGCAATAACTGATGATTTAATGGTACCTTACTCTCAACCAAAGAAAAAAAACAAAAAGAACTTGGAAAATTTTTATGCAAATTTCAAGGATTTTCATTTCACTTGCGTAAAACTAACAGATCAATGTCCTTTTTGTCCCTGCTCAAAGTATATGCCCTGTTATAAGAGGAAATCTGTATTGAAGAGAACTGGAAGAAGATGGCCAGAGGAAGCTGTAGAAGCCCCGTGGTATTGTTGATGCTAAAAAACTGGGGTGCACCATGTATGATGACTGTGTGACCGACTATGTATGTTTTTGTGTATAAAACACCATCCTGAAAAAAACCCAAACCTTTAAATACCTCCACAACAATAAACTCTGGATTGCCAGTGATCTGATGGAACTACCTGACAAGAGAAAAAGAGCCTTCAGGAAAGGAGACAGGAAATTATTGAGGTGTAAAGAGAAGCTACTTAAGGTCGAGATAAGATAAAGCAATAAGGCATACAGAATAAAGATTCAAGTCTATGGGAGTCTAGACAGAGCAAATGAACTGATTCAAGTCGAAGGGAGTCTAGACAGAGCCAATTAACTGACCAGATTCTTCAACATTTTTAATTTAGAAACAAGTTTGGGGTCCCTCTCTCCTCTCCACAATCAAAAACGGATATCTGCTCACCTTCTGACCAAAAACTTTCCTCTCACAACTCAAATGTTTCATCTTCCACCATGGAACCTGTCTCTGTCATTCTAGAAATAATGACAAGAAGCAACTGAAGAGCTTCAGAGTCCTGAAAACCTGTGCAGTGCAGCTTTGTGAGGTTTTACAAAACCCCTTGCCCTTAGCCTCTATCCATGTACAAACTTTATAAACCAAAACGATTAATAAAGAATAATAATGTCTTTTATTCAGGGTTAAAACCTGATCTCTCTAGAGTTACATTCGTTCTATTTAAGTTGTGAACTGAAATCTAATTAGTTCAGATTGTCAAGCTAAGCCTTTTTAAAACATTTCAACAATAAGTTGTTGGCGTACCTATGATATGAAATAAACATGTTTGCAGAGATGGGGCATGTCGAGTCAACAAGTTATTTTCATGCCTGGTAATTGTTCTGCCCAGCCACTGAACCAGGTGAGTCCAATCTGTGCAGTTAATGAAATTGTCAGATTGGACCCACCTGGTTCAGTGGCTGTGTAGAACAAATACATGGGGAGGGGATGAATTTTTGACTACATATCCCTCATCTCTGCCTTCAGTATTTGCATGATGCTTTTCTTGTGCATCAAAGAAAAAAAGTAGGGTATTAGATGTATTTCATTTGTTGAAAAATAGTTGGACGTTATATCTTTGATTGTAAACAGGATTCTGTAATCATTCATCATACCCATTAAACAATTTGGCTTTTATTAAGAGAGAGCGGGACCAAACTATATAAAGACAAAACAAAAAAGTACACACACACACACATATATATGTTTACACTTATGTATATTAGGGCTGGGCGATATAGAAAAAAAACTTATCGATAAAAAAAAATGCATATTGATCGATATCGATAATTATTGAAAAGATCTGAAACCATATTTTATGTGCAGCTCTGCCTGGACTTTTTATGACATTGCTAAATGAATTTTAATAAAAAACACAAACACAGACTTCGAATTAAATCTTTATTTAACCAACTTTTTTAACCATAACAGAATTATTTTAAAGAAAAATAACTTAAGAGACCTGGGTTATTTTATTAAATACTGACAAAGAATAAACTAAAGTGACCAGAAAAGTGACCAAAATAAATATAACAAATAAATAAAAACCCCCCAACCGCCGCCGCCGCCCCCGTTTCCTGCTTTAACCTGAGTTATTACTTTGAAGTTTCTGGCCCCTCAGGATTTTTATCTCAATTGTTAGAACTACGTGGGAAACTGCCCAGAACTGAAAATATATATATATTTTCCCGAAATTCCCGAAGATTTCTCGGAGGAGAGCCGCGCCGGGGCCTACACAGCTCGTACTCCTGTGAGCGGCTGAGATGATAAAAAAAAAAAGTTGGTTGTGTTATCAGACTTGGTTTTCACTGTTTCCCTACACATTTTACAGATGACTGTGGTTTGTTTTTGGTCCGACTTGCCATGACCGAAATACTGCCAGACTGCCGAACTACAAAAACCCTTCTTTGAAACAATTTCCTCCGACTCTCCTTGCTGCGACATCTTCATGTGCTCTGTGTTGTGGTTTGAGAGGGCGGCGCTTTGTGACGGCGTGCCTGGGTCCGCGATTGTGATTGGTTGGGAGGAAGTAGTGACTAGCATAAACCTACATGCTAGGCTTCACTGAGAAGGAAGGAAAACTGCGTTTCTTTTTTATCGAACTTTTATCGACCCTCTTTTTTTCTATTGCGCCACACGTCTATCGATCAATATATATCGTTATTGAATTATCGGCCAGCCCTAATGTATATATATATATATATATGTTTACACTTACGTTTCTGAGAGATTGAAAACCTTCAGTGAATCCCCACTCACAATTCGATAAGTGATCGGATCATTTTCTCTGTCTGTTGCCTGGAACAAATAAAACTGAGAGGTTAGAGCCATATAAAGTTAACAATGTACAGAGAAACATGACAGCTATAGATATAGGAGTAAATAAGAAATTAACAAGCATTATATAAACTTTTACATTATAATTCAAACATTTTTTGAGAATGAATTCTAAACTGTGCAAACTATGTCAAAATATGCACACTAAATGTGAAGGATAGTATAAATGAATTAATGCTTTACCTGCAAGTTAAGGAGAATAGCTCCAATCCTCATGGCCTCACTGATCTCTAGGTTATAGGTGAGAAGGGGGAAGCGTGGAGGACTCTGGTTGTTGGGTGGTAAAACTTCAATATAAACTGTAGTGATGGAGCTCCTGGGTAACAGAAGAGCACATTTGAAGCAATGATCCGAGTTTCTGTTTCCAGAAATTGTTCCGTTCATTAACCACAACACTTTCCCCATAGTTCAGAGAAAATGTCAAGGTTTAGTCAAAGGATAGCTATCATCAGAGCTATATGTGGATATTTCATACATATGCACACATTGTATCACACTATCCTTGTGAGGACTTTCCATTGACTTCCATTCATGTCCTACTCATTTCTTTTGCCTAACCCAGACCATAGTTTCCTGGCAGAAACCATGGCCTCAGACTTGAGATCTCAAGATGTCAAATAACTTGGCATCATAGAAATGGAAAGGGTGAAGAACAAGTGGGTTTTCGCTTTAAGGCATCCAGGTTTCACTTCAATCTGTCATAATATAAAAAGCTCTCAGCCTTAAAGAAAAGGTCTTAAATTACTGGTCCGTCTTTGTTTCAGCTCTCAATTGCAGTTAGAATATATAGTTAATGACTGAACGGATGGGATCCAAGATGCAACAAACTTTGTTTTCTAAGAAGGGTTGCTCAGCTTAGCATAAAGATAAGGTTAGGAATTTGATCAGTTTGATCAGTTTGAGGACCTATGAGTTGGCTCCCAACTCTTTGGTATAAAGACCACATTTTCAGGGGAACTTTAAAGTTTTCCAGGCATATCTAAAAAAGATACCCTAAGGCATATCCAAAATTAACTAGATAGACGGTATCTCTTCTGGCATGGTAAAGTCTTGGCATCCCAAAGTATAAGCAGATTTCAGAATGGATGGATGGATAGACAAACAGAAAGCCAAAGGGTGATTTTTCATGGGAACTGTTTTGAGATAAAGTTTTTCTCACACTTTATCTCAAAACAGTTCCCATGAAACATTATTAAAATCATTAAGCAAACATGACATCCACAGTCAAACTGAAACTACAGACATGAAAGACCTTTGGATATGACCAAGGCATTGCATCTTGGACAAACTGAAATCAATTAAAAAGTAATGAGATAGAGAGAAAATCTACATATTTTAAAGTATTACTGGCCATAGGATTAGTAAAACAAAGTAAATGCCTTTGATGATTACTAATTTCTCACTTCTGTATGATTTTGATAAGTTGTCATATTACTATACCTTCTCTGGGTGTCTGGTGCATTGTCTGAGGCTTTCACTGTTAGTGCATATGATCGGCCCACAGTTAACGTAACACCAGGCGCCACAGTGATACGTCCAGATCGATTATTAATAACAAAGTCTCCTTGGGCCCCAGCCAGAATCTCGTACGTCACCAGACCATTCAGTCCTTCATCAGCATCTACTGCAGTTAACTGAGAAAACAAAATTAGACATATAGTAAGACAACACATTGTGGCATCATACAACTGCCTTCTATTCCGCTGTTTTTAGTTTTAGTGGTTTAAATTTACAGCTAACATTATTTGTGAAACAGTATTTTTTTTTCCTCAGGTGGGAGTTCTGAGGTTTCATGGCACCACGTGCTTTGCTGCACCGCTATCTTATTTTAATGAGAATATCGGATTATTTCTTTGTAAAAATAGAGAGCTGGTTGAAACTCTTAATTAATGATCACAGTTTAAATCAGATAACATTTACTATAAATTTGTAAAGAAATGGCTACAAAAAACTTTTTTTATCACGACAACGTTATTCAAACTGAATATTTCAAATCCAAACTGAATAAGGAACCATTGCTAACTTCAACTTAAATATTTGGGGAATTCAGCTGCTCTTAATTATAAGCCTTCATGTTGCAGCTGACCTCATATCTTTGAAGCCTTGGAACTTAATCCAAGCTTCAACGACCTCATTTTTCCATGATACTGACATTGGAGTAAAAGTTGTAGCATTAAATAAGCTTTTGCATTCTCAGGGGAGATTCCAGCTCATATAAACTGCTCATGAAATGGGCTAAGCAGTCAGAGCAGACACCATAACCCCTGGCCTCATTTCAGACATGGTGAAGTAACTGTTTGAAAAAAATAGTTTTTTTGTTGTTGTTTTTCTTTCACCTTAAAATGATATGAGAGGTAAAAAGCAAACACTGTTCATGATCTTTAAAATGCCATCACCACAGCCAAGCATGGTGGTGGTAACATCATGTCGAGGATTTTCTTCATTAGGGACTGGAAAGTACTGTAGTCAAAAGGTAACAGTAAGATAAATAGATCTAAATGAAGACAGCCTTGGAAAAAAATCAGTTTGAGACTTAAAAATTAAAATGAAGACTACTGCTTTAAAGAAAGAAAGACTACCGCTTTAACTCTCTCTCTCCATATCTCTCTATATATATATATTCACTGTCTATATATACAAATATGAATTAATTCCTGAGTAAAAAGCATATTTGCTTGATTTTAATAAAATACACAGAGGTCAAAGAAAAACATCAAGAGGTATGCATACTTTAGCAAGGTTCTGTAAATGCTTGGCTTCCATACTACAATTGCTTAGCAGGCATAGAGTAAAGGAATATAGATGGAAAGCTAAAAGGCATTGTAGTAATTATATCAAAACATTGACCCAAATCCATAGAGCACTCCAAAGAGATTTAAGTAATAGAAAAGCAATCCTGCCTTATTTCCAAATCCTGTTGTATGCTATAAGAAGGGTTGATAAATTGCTATCACGGAGCCCTTCCACTATGACTTACTGATGCCAGAGAAAAAACATTTTCTCTGCCATGTCTGTTATGACTGCAGATATGCTCCTGGGCTTTGCCTGTCAACACAATGGGTAAGACTGTTGTGGTTATTCTTACTGAGCATGAAAGAGCATTTGAAAGAGAGATTCTGTGTGATGAGGACAAAGTGCAGAGTGTCTCAGTGGTAGACAAAAAAATAGGAAGGCAAAATAGGAGAGAATGATCGCTCTGGATTGATTACCTGTAGAACTGTCTCCCCTGGCTGCATGTCTGTAAAGACTTCAACACTGTAGGAGACCTGTGCAAACGTGGGTGTATTGTCATTGGCATCAATAACCAGGATGTTGACAGTTACTGGGCTACTCTGCTGGACACCATCTGATGCCATCATCTGTAAACATAAAAAAAGAGAAATACTTACTGTAGATTTTAGAATACTGAAGCCATCTAAACCAGGGGTAAACCATTAAAAATCAGCGGGGTCCAAATAAAGAAAATCAACAACCAGTAAAGGTCCGGAGACATCTTTAATTATAATCTGTTACTTTAAACTGCATTTCACACTAAAAATAAAATTGACCTTTTAAATAAAATATATAAAAAAATAGAAAACTTTTCCATTTTAAAATCTAAAGTTTTTTTTTGAAGTAGAGAACAACAATCTTTCCGTTTGGTATATAGACAATTTCCTGATCCACATAATTTATAAAAAGCCTGAACTGACCATTTGTTAAATGCCATTCTCAAGCACATATCAAGTTGCTCATTCGTCAGCCTGGATCAATATTTATTTTTGATCATGTTCATGGTGGGGAATCCTGCTTCACAGCAATAAGTTGAGCCAAAAATACTAAAAATGTGCAAGGTTATCTTTGAGCACACCATTTCACTTTTCTTTCACCAGATCATCGCGGTTCTTCCAGCAGTCCACACTTTCGCTGCTCTCTTTTTCTCATCGTCTGCTTCTTTCCCATCGCCTGGCTTGCCACAGGTTTGCCTGCTGTGTCTAAAAGTGGCCAGCAGCAGCAACCCAGACTGACACAACTCATTGGCTAATTTGTATCACCTGTAGCCTGGTGCCGGATGCTCCAGAGGGCTTTACCGTACATACAGGAGAAGCAGCGCTGGTGAAATTAGACACTGCTGTCGGAAAAAATGCAGTAATTTATAAATGTTTTGAATTAGGTTGGGTCCGGATTAGCCAGCAGGTGGGTCCGGATCCCTGGTCCGCTAATCTGTGACCTCTGCTCTTAACAAACAACACATCTGCATGTTTCAATAATTTTCAGGCATTATCTGAGTGTGTTACTAAACAAGTTAAACATTATGACCAAAGCGAAGGAATTGTTCATATATTTATTTTAAGTAATTAAAATGAATGCATTCAAAGACAAGAGTACAGTGCTATCAAATAGTTGCCTGAAGGACAGTTTCAAACTAAGCCATCTATGTGTACTTGTTCACTGTAGCTTTCATCTGTAGCGCTCAGCAGAATCCATAACTGTGACAGCAACAGTATACATATATATTTTTGTGAATTAAAGAAATATTTCCATCAATAAAAAAAATTATATGCACTGCACCAAATGATCTTTGTTAGAGTAAAACATGCAGTAAAAGTAAGTTTGCTAAGCTTAAAAAAAAAATAATATATATATATATATATATATATATATATATATATATATATATATATATATATATATATATATATATATATATATATATATATATAAATAAAAGTTTTACTCTTGACAGCCTGGCTCTGTTTCAAAGATAGTCTAACATGTTTCATCTTTCTTGACCTGCGATGCATATAGATGAAATATGTTTTTAAGTTTAGTGCATAAATGTTTTTTTGGAAGTGTTGATGTGGGGGTAGGCCTTTATAAATTATTAGTTTGTTCATTCCAAAACTAGTTGTGATGTGAATCTAGTGACTTTATGTCAATCCTTTGACTGAAACTGTCACCATCAGGTGCAAAAAAAATTACAATAATAAAATAATGGTGGTCAGTAACACAAGTGAACTAAAAACCTGCAAAAATCTATATGAAGTCTTACTAAAATGAAGCTCTTGCCCTAAAATCAACACATTTGATCATGACTGAAATCTGCAGCTTAAGAAACATTGAGATGCCAATTTTTTTTTAAAGAAAACTTTTAATCTGTTCCCAAAGAACCGTGATCCTAAATACAGATTGAAATGAGTGTAAGAATGGATAAAACAGATTTTGGGATACCCTGACCGTAACACTGTAGAAGAATTGTGGACTATGTTAAAAAGTCCTGATCATCCAACAAAACAGTCTTAACAAATAGTAAATGGGCTGGATTTATATATAACTTTACTATTCAAGCTGACCAGTAAAAGCACGTTCAACTAAAGCAAAATCCACCCAGTCACGCTGATATGCAAAGTGGTGGTGCAGGAATATACAGTTAATGTGCCCCTGAGCGCATAATGAAGCTGAAATTAAGCTCACAACTACTTCTCACACTTATAGTCTCCTCAGGCGGTCTAAAGATACCAAGGATAATAGTGATCTATCCAATGACAATTAAACAAGTATTGTTTAGAGCAACACAAAACATGCAGTTGAGAAGTAACTTAATAAAGGGCAATTAAACAAACATTAATGAGGTCTTTATTGAAAATCTTAGCATTTCTGTTAATTTTTAAACCTCAATGTAACATTTAATATGCACTTAATTTCTCAATAAAAGTTATTGAAGTGCTTCACTGTACAATAATTCCACTTCTCAGAATGAACATCATAAATGTTTAAAACACCAGACTCGATGTCATATACAGGTCCAAGATGACTGTATGTAAACCCTGGCTTTAACAGTCACTTTATAAGAACTGAAAAATGTAAAAACAATAATAATGTTAAAGGCCTGCTCATGCCTTCATGGCTTTCTCACAGGCATTGAAGTCAAATGCCGGCATCATAGTGATAGATGAAGGCTCACATCTTTCGAAAGTCTTAGTTCTTTTCATACTCCACATTTTTATTTAAGAATGAAACTTTTCAAAGAAGTTATTCAAAGAACAACAATAACATCACAACAAATCCAAATCCTTCCAAGGCTTTCATTTTCACAGGAGATTTGTGAGTAGGCTTGGGAAAAATAATTTTATAAGACCTTTTCTAGTAATGTCTGATCACACCAACTCTTAAGATTTAGCTTTTAATTTAAAATTTTCAATCTAACTATATGCAAATTGCAACAGATTCTGCAATAGACACATTTTAAAAGAAATCTTTATATTTTATATAAAAGTTTATAGTCTCAGGCCTAAACACAGAACAATTGGCCATCAAGCCTGAGCAGACAACTAAATGGATTACTAGAGAAGCATGCTGGTTCAATTAATTGTTTGAGAAATGTATAAAAGCATACAAATAAAAAACTTTTGACATTCAAAAAGTATATAAAAAATTGTTGTATAAATTAGGACCTCTCATTGTACCTAAAGAAATAAACTAAAGCAATCTGGTAAAAAAAAAAAAAAAAAAAAACATGACATGTTTCACTTTTGTTTTTGATTGTTCTTACTACTGATGTTGGATGCTGATACTTTAACCCAGCAGCAGTTCCATCTACATCTCAAGCAATAACAGCTACTTTCACAGTTCCCAGTTGGGTAAAAAAAAGGTGCAAAGGATCCAGAGAAGGAGCAAAGAAGAAAGAAAATTTAAGTCATCTTTTCTATTGGTCTCATCTAATTCAGAAGATGGTGCTGCTCCCTCCCTCATCAATTTGTCTGTAAAGAGGCAATCGTAGTGACTGAAACTGCAATAAGCCAGCACCAAGTCAAGATTGTGTCAGCTCCATAGTGCTAAAGGCCTGTGCTGAGCAGCTCCAAGAGGATACTACAACACCTCTTCAACCTTAGCCTGACCCTGGCAACAGTTTCAGTGATGTGGATGACCACCTGCCTTGTTCCGGTGCTAAATAAAACTCAGCCAATGGTCTTTAGCGACTATACACTAGTTACCTTGACATGCCTAGGCATGAAGGTCCAATAGACACCTGTTGGTCCATCTGAGAAAGAAAACAAGCAGGACCTCATGCCGTTTGCTTATTGCTTTGGATCTGGGGTTGAAGATGATTTACCTAGTTCAACAAACCCACTCTCATATCTAAAAGGCAGGTAGCACTGCAAGCACTTAAAATTCTCCGGTGTATTTAACACAAATTTAGAGATGCACGATATAATCGGCCCCTTATCGGTATCGGCCTGTATCGGCCTTAAAACTGAATATCGGACATCGGCCACCCCACCGATATTTAACCCGATATTTGATCAGCTTCTGAGTTTCTAAAGTCTAAAAAAAAAAAAATTAATAAATACTACTTCTTCTTCTTCCTCAAAAACTTTTTGACAGACTTAAAAACTTCTAAAGACGAGGGAAAAAATATTGATACATTAAAATATCACAATCTTCATATGCTGATATATTGCCATTTAAAAACACCATATCAATCTCTTTTACTAATGAAATATTGCTATATGTCATCGTTATGCTATGAAATCCCCTGAAAATTCACGAAATTTTGCCATATTTTTATATGTTGATATATTGATGCGGTATCGATCTATTTTACTAACAAAATCTCACAAGAATTTGCAAAATATCATCAGAGTTTGTAACAGAACAATGAAATTTCACAAGATTTTGAAAGTAAAATAGATTGATACCGCGTTTTTAAAAATCAATTTGATATCAGCATATGAAAATATATTTGAGTATATTATTTTTCAAAGTGTCAGAAATGGATAACAAAACTGCTATTTTCAATGACTACTTATTTTTGTCCAGCTTTAACATCAGTATCGATATCGGTTATCGGCTACATGAGTTTTAAAATATCGGCATATCGGATATCGGCCAAAATCCCAATATAGTGCATCCCTACACAATTTAGCCCAATTTACTTTTTCAGAAACTCCAAATGACTCTGGTGGAGGCCTCAGGAATTGAACGTATCAAAGACTAACTGACAAGTAAACCAGTTTGTAAAACTGAAGGGTCAACTATCTAACCATGTAGTGAGGAGCATAGGGGCACATAGGGAGTACCACAATATACAGAGGTTTCACCATTCATTTTTACTCTGCACACCTACTACTTCAAGTACAAAACAGAGTCCTGTCATCGGGAGAAGTAGTCTGAGGGATCTGTAGTCACTGGTGGAATTAAGAGATGGAAAAGAAGCAGGGATCTGGTGAGGCTAGTGATATTGAACAACTGGGTTTTCTGCTTTACACAGAATGCTGAATGAAGTCCCTCTTTAAAAAACTTGACAGTGTCCACTACAATGTCTTCAGACAGGTCCTGATTTTAAAAGTTTTCAGACATTTACTAGTTCTTCTGCTCCAAATGCATAAAAAGACAGATACAAATGTATCGACCAAACCAACCTGAACACAGCACCCTGAACAAAAAGGTCAGTCCTACAGACACACACACACATCCACACAGACTCATTCTCGTCCTGCTATATGTAGGGAGGTCTTGCGTCGACTCCCACTGACTTCCATTGATTTTAAGTCATTTTCAACCATTTCTAATGCCTAACTCTGAAAACTCTGATAACCATTACCAGAAAAAAAAAACCTAGACGCTCTCTAACCCTAAACTAAATTCAATTCACACCTTAGCCCTAAACCTAACAATTAAATAGCTCACTAGGACCAGGAAAAAAAAAGGTTCTCACTCTGATGCCAAGATGGGCCCAACCACACACACACACACACACACACACACACAATTTGTGTAAGTTTCTCTGTTTTAAGGGGAGTTTTTCTATGACTTCCATTCATTTATATGGCCTAACCCAGACCCTTACCCCAAACACAACCATTATCAACATATAACTTGCTCTAACCTAAATTGACTTCTAATTTTACACCAAAACCTAACCCTAAACACAAGAAGAGAACCTTCCCTCCTGGGGAGCAGTTGAGTACCTGTACCTGTAAAGTACCTTTAAATTCCCAAAATCTATCATACTGCTAGGAAGTTTGCTGTATTCTGTCCCCACAAGGTAACAAAGCTGCTAGATGTACTGTGTATAGATCAATATTAGTCAGGAAACTGCTTCAGGGAAATAAATGCTCAACTAATATCATTCATATCTACAATCAGACCAGTAGTAAAAAGTAAAAATTATCCAACACTGACAAGAAAGGCTGGATAATAACTCGACCACATCTTGCCAAGCTAATTAGGAGGATAGTAAAGGAGGTGAGAAGCTGACCTTTTTCAGCCTGCAATGACCTTCTTTTCCAGAGGGAGAAGTCAAGTTTAACAGGACTAGTAAAATTTTTAGAATGGTATTAACAACAATATATTTAAATATATATATATATATATATATATATATATATATATATATATATATATATATATATATATATATATATATATATTTTGTAAGCCTTGAGGGTTACATTGTAATTTTTCAAATAAAAGTCAAAATTATTAAGCAAACAATTTAATTCATAATATACATACTGTTGTCATAATAAACTCTATCAAAGTTTTAGCCTGTAGCTCAGATATCTCCACATCCCTGATGGTTTAGCAGTAACAGGTTAACACACACAGAAGGACAAGTGTTAGACTAGAGGGCTGATTTGAGGATACCTGCAAGGAGCTGGAGACTCACCGTGAAAGTATAAGTCATCTGCTGTTCCCGGTCCACAGGTTTTAGGATCCTCAGGTAGCGGATTATGCCAGTCGGGGTCAGGCTGAAAATTGTGGTGTAGTCATCCAGGGTAATCTTCACCATAGGGTCTTTGGTCTTTCCAAAAGAGGAAGACACCAAAAGGGACATGTAACCATGGTGACACTGATGTTTTATCATCAACCCCCCCCCCCAAGGTAGCAGCTGTGGGACTCAGAAACCTATCACAAAAATATTTGGATGTGAAAACGAGTTGGAAAAAAGTAATCTGCTGGGAGGCGTTTCCACAAAACGAAGTATTAGCTGAAGAAAACCATTAAACTCTGTCAGTTTAGATATATTTAAAATGCTTTTCTGCTTTTAGTGATGCATTAGAATTATTTTTTTGGTTTATTTGTTTTCATTTAGGGAAAAACAATCATACATGTTAAAACCTCAATGATTTTAAATGAAACAAAGTGGAATACGATTTGAAGTCAATTTACAGTACTTATTTGTGAGCAAAACCTTTTAAGAAGATTCTGAGAAGTGGTTTTGAATCTAAACATTGGATCAAGTTTCAAGCATTTGGGTGATAAAAATGCAAAATTTCAAGCAGCGTGATGAAGCAAAACAGAGCTTTATGGTGATGCTCAGTTTTGCAGCATGTGGCATTGATGTATCAAACAAAGCAGATGGGGTTGTAAAAAACATAACTACCTCAGACTTTTGAGCTGCACCTTACATAAACTGTCGTCTAGTTAAAATTTAGACCAAATGACATTTTCTAACATCAACCTACTAAAAGGAAAACTATGTAAAAAAAAAAAAGTTTGTCCAAGTGAAATAGCTGTTTTAAAGTAGCTTTTCAATCATGAAAAGAAGCAATATAAACATTTAATATATATATATATATATATATATATATATATATATATATATATATATATATATATATATATATACATATATATATACATATATATATACATATATATATACATATATACATATATATACATATATATACATATATAAATAAATAAAGGAAGGAATAAAAGACTTGTTGATGGCACTAATGTATTCTAATTTTAGAAATTAAGAGCTCATTATCAGTTGTTATCAAAGTTTTTGTGGAAGTATTCAGTTATAAGAATGTTTGTTTACTAAAACACCAATATTTTATTAAATATTACTACATATATTCCTTCAAACTCAATGTTACTTCTATAATGTCTCAATCTTTTTAAGAGCAGATCCTTTTTTGTCTTTTTTTTTCCATTTAGATGCATATTTTGGTTGAGAGAAAATGTAATAAAGTTTATAATCAATGCTATGATCAATTTTGGAAAAAATAAAATGTTAAAATTTCACCCCAAAACAAATAGTTCTAAGGCATCATTTAAAAAAGACAGTTCTCTAATATTGGAGTATGAAAACTAGTACGTGAGTTTATTTTAAGCAAATACCTTAATAATTTGGTTCTATTAACAAGAGAAACACTTATCTTGGCTTTACAAAAAATACGTGATTAGGCAATGATTTCCATAAAATTACTTTACTGTTCTTTTTCTACATTGAGATGGAGGCACTGAAGACATATGATGATGTCCATTTTATAAAATAAAGATGCAGATTATGATGCTACATTGCTGCTGGCCAGCTTTGACTCATATTCAACAATCCTTGTCCTCATAGTAGTTTGTAAACAACAGGGTCAGGATCTGATTGATTGTACCTGTTTTTTCATTTCGATTTGTTAATCTTTTCCAAAGACCGATTTGGCGGATATTTTAAGAGATGAAACAGACGTGGCTATCCTGTCTTTTCCAATTTGAAATGTATTTGACAGCATACTTTCTTCATTACACTTAAAATTTAAAAACATTTGCAGACCCAACTGCTGCGTTTTTCAGATTCTAAAAACAAACCATACACTAAACAACAAGTCAGATAAAAAAAAACATGCATGGGAAAGTATAACACCCGTAGAGAAGAGTTTCATAGATTTGAACAAAAAAAATAAAAAATACAAAGCACTTCAAACACATGCACATTCAAAATAAAAACACTCTCTTAAAACTACAAAAATCAGGTCAAAATAATCCTCCATCACAACTATAGATCTATTTTATACTTAATCAACTGTTAGGTTCTTCCTTCACCATTTAACAAATTATTTGTCCATGTAAAAAGGGGCTCCAGCAAAAAGCATGCCTAGAATCCATTTGTATTTCAGTAGAGATTCATGCATTAATAGTGAGGATGTTCTGAGTCAATTTGTTGGAGGGTAGAAAAAGAGCAGATTAAGGCTGCTAATCTGATCTCTTTTAATATAACATGTTCTTTGCGTATGCCAACATAAAAGTCAGTCTTTTCTGAGAAAACCAAAGTAAATATGGACATCATAAAAAGCAAAGGCAAGCACGGTGTTCTTAATGTCACTGTAAACATTGCTTTTTTAGTTTATATATGAATATCAAGCAAAAAATTAATATATTGAACCTCCCATGATATACATTATATAAAAAAAAATGAGAGGAAAGGTGATTTAAATATGTTCAGACAGCTTTCTGATGGAGATTTGTTGTGCAAATATCAATACCATCATACCCCCTAAATTTGATTTGCTTGACTGATATCAATACTGAAATATGTTAAGTGACTAGATCTGCAGAGTGTAGATCTGCATCCTTTTATACCATCAGTATTGGAATAAACTAATAAGAAGCCTGTCAAAATAAGTTTAGTTATTAAAATTCTAAGGAAATTTGGTGCAACAAAATTGGGTCAGGACATCCTTCCTTATGCTGTTTGTTGTCACAATGAAAGGCACTCCTTTTACCCACAGGTGTATCACCAGGGGACAGCTTTAAGTGAAAAAAAAGTGAATAGATGAATGGTCACAAAAATACATAAAAATAAAACAAAATAAAAGTACAATTCAATCTAATGAAGAAATGGATATGTGTAATGTATTTGATAAATATAGAAGAAAAATAAATACAAGCAAAATACATGCTAGAGCTAAATTAATAAATTAATCCTTATTTAGAGAAAAATATTGAGTAAGTAATAAATGGACAAATTAATAAAAGAATTATGCATGACAATAATACTTATGTAATGAAATAATTAAAAGAAATTTAGAATAACATTTATATATGAAGAAATGATCAAACAAATAAAAAGATGTAATAAAATAATAAATCAAAAAATGAATGGAATAAAAAAAAATACATAAAGAAATGAAAAACTGAATGAATACAAAAGAACATAAAATGCAATATGTCATAACTATGTATGGTGTAGCTTATAGAGCATCTAACGTGTTAAAGGGCTTTCTGTATTCCTACCTCTTCTATGTCATTATCCAAAGCAATGATCCCTAGAGGGGCAGTGAGGTTGGAACTGGCAGAAATAGTTGTCCCCACTGGGGAGGACTCGCTCACGTATCCCTGATAGGAGGCGAACTGAAAATATGGCGCCTGGTTGTTCTCATCCAGTATTTCGATAATGAGGTCAGCATAAGCTGGTAAGGGATGTCCGTTGTCCTGTTCTGCCTGGATGGAAAAAAGTACATAGAGGTTATAGTTTGAGAAATTTCCACAGTATAGATATAATGATTTACAATTTACAAATGGTAAATACAGAATAACATATATAAAACTTTGTTTTTTTTTTTTGTTTTTTTTTTCAATAAGAGATTAAGCTTTATTTTCTAAGTTAAAAACAGTGCTCCAGCAAGTACTAATACTCGTTAATTACAATGGCACTTTATGAAAATGCCATCGTTTGAAGCAGAGAGACCATAACTACTTGCAATTTCATTTTGTCAAATGATTTGCTACCAAGAGAAGGGGAATCTCAGGAAATGGTACAGTAGCTGAGTCTAAAAGTTAAAATTAACCAATTAACTATTTAAAACCTGCTACATCAAATTCTACTGTATATCCCTGTTGTGGTGAAGTCAATTTTGAGTCTGAGATCTTAGTTTGTTTGCAAAGTTTCAGTTCTGTCTTGAACCTTATTGATTTACAATGCAATGATCTGATAAACACAATCCTCACTAATCTCCTCACCATATTGATTTATTTTCTCCGAAAACTGAACTGTTGCTGTCTGTGTGGACAAAGTAACACTAAAGTGTTAATCTTGCAATGAAGCTGGGGAAAACAAATAAAGTTGTCCAAGTTCAGATATTTTTAAATCTCTTCATAAAATTATTTTCTTAAAGCCAATTTAGATTTTTCTGATTTTCTCAAAATTCCCTTTATATTTTATTGGCTAGTTTATTGTTCAAAAACAGCAAAGGTAAACTATTAACACTTTCACATGTGTCAAACATTTTGCAAACATGTCCCATGGTGATGCTGGATGTCCAACATATCACAGTTGGGTATCCAAATGTAGAGTTGAAGGCCTTATCTTTACTCACTCCACTGGAGTGGAACTGACTTCCAATCTGTGGTCGTAAAGAGCAGCTCTTACTGCAACAAAATGTGAAAGCATGTGTAACAAAACAGATGTCCTCTGTTTCTCAGGAAAATGTGATTTGACAAGATGGTAAGCCTATCATTTTTTTCCCAGCTTTTTTTTTTTTTTATTGTCATAAGACTTTCACAACTACAGAGCAACGAAATTTACTCTGTGCATTTAACCCATCCCCTTGGGGAGCAGTGAGCTGCTATTGTGCAGCAACCGGGGAGCAGTGTGTGGTCTAGGGTCTTTGGTCAGGGACCCAGAGTGGCAGTCTATGGGAGTGGGGCTCGAACCTGAAATGGCTCAGAACATTCAGGCTAGATGGATTTTGTTTAGGATTTTCAAGTATTACCACAGATTCTAAAATAATTTTACAGTGTGTGAAAATTTGACTGGATCATCACAGCCCATAGAATGTTTTTATTTAAAGTTGTATAATACAATTCTGGCTATTTTAGGTAATTTTTAAGGAGGAACCTTACCTCCATAAAATATGATTTCTGAATGGCAAAAAATAGTCAAGAGTTCCCATGAGCAGTGAATGTAGTTTTACATATTGTGATAATGATGAGAAACCAGTGGCAAACTAGCAATAAGACAGCAAACTTAATTATCATTGTGAAATGTTAGGCTTAATAGAAAACAGGTTGGTGAAGCCAATCTTTACAGCTCCTCGAGAATTACCATCGGCCTATGAGCTTCTTCATTGATCTGTGCTCTCAATCTTTATAGGTTTGCATGTGAGCCATACTTTTTCCGTTTTAGAGGCACATCCTAAAAACATTCTATAAGATGGTTCAAAGCTTGGGATGTTTTTTTATAACCGAATTTAGTTTCAAATATTTCTATGGCTTTATTTTTTAGCTGTTAACTGGTGTCTCTGTTTTCGGGACACTTTCACTGATGCTAAACGAGAAACATCAGAGACCTTCACAACGTATATGTATTCATACTAAGGTAAACACAGCTGGGCTCTATAAAGACACTGTGAAGGAAACTTGTTTATCATAGCAAGCAAAGAGAATACAAAACACTTGTCTTTCATTAACAAATCTCAATTAAAAAAATAATTTAATAAACTAAACAACTTAATTTACCTTCAAAGCTATGCACTTCAAGCACTATTCAGGTGAAATGTAAATAATTTCTGCTTGTCAGGAATTATTGGCCAAGCGTGTTGAGATTCCAATTTAGCTGCTGCATACATATTTAATTTCAATAAATCAGAGTTGGTTTGAATATAACTGGTGCACAAAGTGAAGGAGTTTTCCGAAATTGGCCATATAAGTGTCCTAATTTAAAAGTCAAAATATTTTATAAACAGTTAAAGTGCAATTTAGCTGTTAATGGAGAAACACTGTTTAGTATGAAAACAGTTCTAACAAAATACACGTAACTTTCATCACAGTCCAACACAGTAATGGAAAAGTGACAACTGTATCAATGTATGAATATTGCTTGAAGGGCAAAAACTGTTGACTCTTCCCCCTGCACAACTGGTGGCTAACACAGTTGCTTTAGGAACAATATATTGGAGTAAATCAGGAATGGCAACCTCTCAGAAAAAATGTTAAAAAGATGCAAATTATACCTGACACTAACAAAGACCAAACTAAATGAATATAATACACTTAAGCTGCTGCTTAAGTCTTTCTCCCACTGTAAGCACAAATGTCACAACTGCCACCCACACCATGGAAGCTTCATAAATGTTAAGGCTTTGAAAATCCAGATGGAGAGGGGGAGAGAAGCAACGTCATTTTAGGTTATGACCTGGAACTAATTTAGCAAATTAGCTTAATTTCTATGGCGTTGTGTTACAGAATGTAGATTCCTTGTGCATCCAAATGCCAGAAAATATAGGGCCAAGTATTCTCTTTGTTGCGTGTGAGTGCTCTAATTTACAGTGCTGTAATAGTATTTACCCTCTTATAGATTTTTTCTCATTTATTTCTTTGGTTACACATACAGTTTAACATAATCAAAACAAAATACTATCAGATCAAAATAACCTGAGTTAATATAAAAGGCTGCTTTGAAGTAAAGGCTCCATTTATGCAGAATCATTCCAACCGGTCCAAACTTTTAACAAAATACCAACAAACATATATTGCTTTTAACCTTTTAAATTATTATTTTTTTGTTTGCCTTTAACAGCTGTCTTTCTGCTGTATTACAGTGCAATTCATTCTAAGTTTGCAAACTGATCACCAGACATTCTCTATTATCTCACTATCACACTACTTTGACCATGTTTGACTGGCATTCTGTCTTTTGGAAATGCTTTCATTTTTTTTTTTTTACATCATAATAAAATCTTGGTAGTCATCAAGGTTTTTTTTGGCAAATGTGTTACAGACCATGGTTTTGGTTTTGTTTAGCAGTAAATGCCAGTCTTGCCTAATTTCCCTCTTACTATAAATTATGATGAACACTGAACTGAGGCGAGAGAGGCTTGTTTGCTTTAGATTTGATTCTGTTTATTGAGGGTTTCTGGATAGATTTTTTTTTTTGGACTGCTTGGTAAATTTGGTAGATAGATCAGTGGCCTCCAACTTTTTTTTTTTACCGGTTTAATGTCAGACAATAATAATAATAATGATAATGTTAATAAACTGAGTATCCATGGGTATCTTTACTAGAAGCTCTTGTATCTTCCTGCCAACCACAGAACATGAATTGAATCCTCTCCGCCTCAACACTCTCTGGTCAATATAGACATGTCACTAATTTTAAAGAAGGTCTAAATTCAGTTTTATCATAAATAAACAAAGAAATTTGAAATGTTGAAATGTCATATTTCAAATTTATGTGGGTTACATTTTGAAAAATTTGTATAGTTATCTAAAACATTAAATTTTCAAAACAAAAACAAAGAAAATCTATTTGTTCCAACAATCTTCAATCTTTTGAAGGGTTTTTTCACCTCAACATTTTGCGCTTCTGATTAAGCTTCTTTTAAGTGAACTTCACATCTGTTATTTCTCTATCATAGTGTTATTTCAGACTATGCTCCTCAATCTTGAACCATTTTCCCTTATCCCTGTGATAAAGCACGAAAACCCACAGCATGTCAAACCAGAGATCCAATCTGTCCACAAAAACACCTGAGGGGGAAAGCGCTTTCATTTATGGGCATGATGTGCGCTCAGCATCTACACACATGCACTCACACACACAGCCATTTAAACATCTCTGTCTATAAGAGCTAAGACAGAGCGTATTATTACCTGGTTCCCTGGTGATTTTACTCTTTAATGTGTCCTCATTTTACAGAGGCACTGCTCAATGAGCCATGCTCTACAGCAGCAACACAAAGGCCAATTTTAAAATTCAACGCAAACAAAAGGCGCCATTCATCAATCAATCTTGATTTTCCTGTCCTGATTCCATCACTGTGTAAGTGTTGCATGGCTCCTTTTCTTCTCCCTCTTTTCATTTCTTTCCTCCCTAATTTTCCAAACAGTTTTTCTCCATCTCCAAGTCCTATCGGTGGATGTGCCTCTATCAAGATCAGTGATGACCACTGAAGAAGAACAGATGTGCTTCCTGCAACCGGACTCACAGTGTAACATATGCTTCCAGGAAGCATTAGGGATATCTGCTGCATACAAGGAAACCATCAGTTCTCATTTGCCGGGTTTTCCTGAGTTCTCAATCTCCTTTAAATGACTTAGATAGATAAGGCCCCTAATATTCACAATATGGATACCTCTTCATCTATCATCGTTTCCCCCTACCTCCCCTTTGAACTTCCTCTCTTCCTATATTCTCTTCCTATAGTTCGCAGCCCAGCACACACATGCAAATGCTCATATATAATCAATTTGTCTTTGTGCTTCATTTTAAAATTATATTGTTCTCTCATCTCTTTCCTCACTAGCCATCCTACCTGCATAACAGGTAGAAAAGTGCTCGGAGGTGCCTTGAGGTTAGCAACAGAAAGTTAATCCACACTGCTGCACTGCCCCAACAACACCGAATGCTCTCTGCACATATTTATGATTCAGAGTGTTAAAGCTGCCTGTTAAGTCAATAAATCATAGCATCTTTCACTCTCATGTTTCCTAAGCAGGCAAAGATAAGCTTACTGACCTTCAGGACTTGGGTTATCTAGGTAGAACAGGTGAACATAAACAGCAAGGAATAAGGTAAACTGTACGTATATTAAACCAAGTCTGATGGCAACACATTGAGAGTATGAGAGAAGTATTTAAGCATAGAGTAGGGGATGCAACTAATAAGGATCAGGAACAGTCTGTCTTTACATTACATATAGTTTAAAGAAAGAATAATTTAGCTTTGAACAGATTTTGTAACATTTTTGATATTAAATTTAAACCCTCATAGAAATTCTTGCATTTAATCTTTAGATTAAAACACCAGTGTTACCATTTTCAAAGCACTTACTGTACTCAAAAAGCACATTTTAATTGAAGTTCTGACCTTAATGATAAGTGTGAACCTCTGATACAGGTCCCGGCTAATAGGTTTCAGAACAAGCAACTCTGCAGTGGTCCGGTTCAGGGAGAAGTACTCTGGATATGTGTTCGGTTGACCTGCAAAAAGGAAAGGCAGCACCAGCAACATCAGAGTAAAAATTCAAAACATAAGTCATGAGATAACTGACCTAAAAGTACTTTTTTTTTTCATTAAAGGTAAAATAACCTACCAACCAAGATGTAATAAAGAATGCCAGGTCTCTCTGATGGTGGCTGTATGTTTCTGTCCATGTCCACAGCCCGGATAGGTGGGGTCACATTAAGTGGGTTCAGTTTAGTCTGCATTGAAGGAGAAGATGAGAGTCAGAAACAAGAAAGAACATACATTTAGATTGGAACATACATTTCATGTATATGGCATTTTTTTAAGATTTATATAATGTAGCCAAAATGTCTCATCTGATTAAATGTAAAATGTATATATTGCAGTTGCCTACCAAAAATCCCAACCACAATTTCATAGAAAATATGTGAAGGGAGCTAAACATTAGGATGAGGGAAGAAGGGCTGAAATCTTCAGACTTGGGAGCCCATGACTAGATAGCTCCTCAAAATAGCAGAGGACACATGTAAAAAGTTGGAAAGTCAGCAATTATAAGAAGGGAGTGACTCTTATAATGGTAATATAATGTCATTTATTTCTTTTTTTAACTCCAAGTTGTTTTTAAAAGATTTATTACTTCATGACACTTGCCTTTTTAATTTTCCATTTAAAAAGCTCTTGGCTGAATGGATATGCTATGCAACTCGACTGTCTTATTTCATTCCTTTGTATGTGACCAATGTATTGTAAAAACAAATTAAAACTAATTAAAAATTAGAGTTAAGCATTAAACATAAAAAATATTTAAAATCAAAGTACCTTTATAAGTTAATGGTAATATTTAAATTTGTTTTTAAAAAAACAAACAAAAACATGTCTTTAAATTTAACTTTCTTACCCTTTAAATATTTTCTATATACTACTGTGCTCTTTTGTTTCGAAGGGTTTGCTTTGGAAAAAAACAACACTTTTCAGTGTAGACAATGTTACTGAAGAAAAGACATTAATTGTTGACTTTTTCCCATAAGATAAAACTGTCAATGTGTAAGCTAGAGGAGAATGAGACTTAAGAAGCTGTTTGAATATAGGTAGTATTTTCTGTTCGAGATTTATCTGGCTGTCATAGAGCATGAGACAGAAAACCTTTCATCTGATAACAGATAAGCTGAATGGTTGGCTGCCTTTTGAAAAGATTAGAGTCAAGGTAGTGGTCCTTATTTTTTAAACTCTATTTAAAGTTACCAATGTTAAGGTGATGCTAGACAGGTTAGAGCAGCTAAGTGTAATACTAATTGAGATAATTGTTAATTCAAAATCCCAGACCCAGCTTCAGATTTACAGCCTAGCTTTCATTGGGTGAGAGGTGGGGTACATCCTGGAAGGTTTTACAATCCATCACATAGTAACACAGAGACACAAATGACAAACAAGAGCACATACAGCTCAACAAAGGGCAATTTTAAGTGACCAAAGCAACCTTGTAGTCCTGCTTTTAAACTTTAAAGAAGTGGGAGTGCACCGGATAGACTCAAGTTTTGCAGTGACTTATCTCTCATAGGACATTATGCTACACTCCTTTTGGCTACTTATCCTGCTGCGGCTCATGCAAACAGCAAAGCACATATTTACTATAGCCCCTCTTCTACAAAAATTCACTAACATATGATTAAGAGAAAGTATGCTGAACACTTTGGGCTCAATAATTGTTCTCTTTATGTAAAATGCCTACATCTTGCTATAATAGTATGTGCAAGCATGCAAATAACGGCCTGTGATAAACCCTCTTAACACAGACAGAGGCCAGGCAAACAGCTCCCTGGTGGAAGACCTTCTCCCTGAGGGGGTATATTTATATCTTTCAGCTCTGTAGTAATCCTTACACCCCTCACCAATCAGCCCTCTTGCTTTAACACTGTATGGAGGTGTACTAAATCAAATCCTCCTAGCTCTGCACAATGATGATTAGCTATAATACCCTCCTCGAGCAGTCATTATCCAGGGGACTTCACAGCCCACACAGCATACCCCCAAGACAAAAAATAAATACGGATCAACTTAATAATGCCAGTCTCCCTATTGTAATTAATTATATTCTCTCATCAATTACTGGAATACAAATCTCCCAGTGGACAGACATGCTAGCATAATGGTTACGCAGCAGCAGTGAAAAAAAAAGTGAATGAAAACTGTAAAGCCCATGTTGATTACTCATCTTAAATGCTCAAAAGAAATCTCATAAGTGCCTGTTTCTGGTGCTTAACAAATACCACGGGCTTCAAAACACGGGTGGTGCAATTCATTAGGAAACATTCCGGCATGCATATCAGTATAAAAATCACAACTAAAAGAGTCTTTGAAATCTGCTGACATGAAGCTTGACAAGTAAGAGTAGAAACTCTATGCACACTTGTAGGAAAAAATAAGGCAAAATGTTAGGAATTGACAACATTTATAAAAATGATAAAAATAAAAAGCAATAAAAACTTGGATACAAAGCGGGGCTGGAGCCCCCTGATCAATAATAATGTCAATCCCTATCTGTGGCTGTATCAGAGTCAAAGTAACCATGGTGTTAAAGGGAAGAACAAACTATTTTTAACAGATGTATAAAAAACATAGCCATCAGTTAAAGCGCAAAAGTCAGACAAAAGAAGATGCAGCTCAACACTCTGGTTATTGTCCAAACCCTGATAATTTCCATCTGATTAGTTAATTCAAACAACAATGAAAAATAAACGAAATATATGGTGATACATGCTCAAGAATTATTAGTCACTAATGCTGATGATAATTTTTTATGCTGAAACTGTTGAAATGTAAAATGATGTCAGGCCATGTCATATTCCATATTTCGACATCCATTTGCATTCTTAAGCTCAGATACAGTATTTCTGTATTTAAAGAACATTTTATTTGAGCAACCCCAATGATCATTAAATGGAATCCATGTAATCTTTATGCCAGTTTATGAAAGTTTACATGGGGTATTTTCACCAGTGCATGCAAAAATATAAAATATCTGATCATATGGAGCACTGTGCAGGAATTAGTGAAATACATCCTGAACAACGATTAGAGAGAATACTGTACCTTTACAGTAAGATATTTTTGTTTTGTCATTTGTCAAATTCTGTCTCTGTAATTTCAAAAAGAATTAAATGCAGTATTTGATAATTTAGTCATTTTTTTCCATTTTGTGGTGTTTGATTTGTTTGCCTTGTTGTTGAAGCTGTAGACAGTGAAAAACATAGGTGAGAGACACCCTTTTGTGGTTGTGATGCGACTAGGTTGTGTAAACTTGACGGGTGAAGACAAAGAGGGTGTAAAGAGATGCAAAATGATCATCTGTTGAGCTTCTTTTCTCGAGTCATGCATGCATACAAAGCTGCAGGTCTGTTCACATGTAATATAATTGTAACTATAATATAATATAATATAATATATAATATAATATATAATATATTTTAACTAAACAGATTTTTCAGGTTTTGGCTGTTACAGACTTTGCTGTCATCCCTGTTCAAACTAGGCAATAATTTGAGGTAAAAATGTCCACAGATTTATTCTAAAATAGAAACACTAAGGCTAAGAAGGAAAAACTACCTCCATCTCCAACTGATTCGACACAACAGGGTGTAAGCTGACAATTAGGCAATCTGAAAGGTGCATCATGGGAGTATATACAGCCAAACAGTTCTAGACAAACAAAAAAATTGCTGCATAAAAATTCTGATCCTAAAATATGGAGAGTATGAAGGTTTTGACAGTTGTCTCTCTAACTGCCTCTCACCGGTTCAGTAAATTCAGGGATAGCAGCACGGTAGGTGAGTGGGTTGCAGTCACGGGTGTTGTTCACCAAAATGCAAGGCAGAAACATTGGACCAAGGTCATCTCCATCTAAGACATCCACAGTCAGAGTTGTGGTAGCTGTTAGTCTGTTTGGTGGGTATGGAGCACGGTCCTGGGGGAAAAAGTGATAATTAACTACTTAACAATAAAACTTAACAATTTCTTTATCATACAACGACTATTTGTTCAATTTCAGTCAAGACTGGTAAAACTTATATTATCCACCTGACATTGAGCTACATAAACATGCTGTTTGTTTAACCTTGAATATAATGTAAATAAGATGTTTGTCAGAAATCTTCATAAAATAAAAAAAAGACAAACAACCTGCATATATTCTGCCAAACTTTTTGTTCCAGAACACAAAACAAGACCATCAACTGACTTGTTTTCTCTTCAAAATTGTCAAAGTAAAATCCAATTTTGCGGTAATTAACTGTTACTGTTTTTTTCTGTGTTTTAATTAGTTGCTGTAGATGTTACTATTTGTAGTGGTCTGTCTTGCACCAGTTCAGGAGAGGCCTTTAAATTAAGACCCTATTTTATTTAAAAATATTATGAAGATGATCATAGTTGTCTGTAATGTTCTTGATTTTATGAAGAATTAATCTTAGTGAATTCATTACCAGGGGTTCTAGAGGATTTCCTAAAACAAAATAGGCCTTCTTTATCAGCTTGTTGAGTTTCTTGATGTCATTTTCAACATTACTGTTCTGGCAATGATGGTGTCATTTGGACAAAAGCTTATATAGTCAGACACCAAGTCATCAACGTAATCTCCTTGAGGCTGAAACAATGCATCCTGTGTAGCCTTAAAACAACCATGTAGCACTTCCTTATCCTATAGAGGCCCTCTTCTTACAGTCCTCTTAATGTAGGATTCCTCTTATGAAGAGGAAAAACCAGATTGCAATCCAATTCCCCAAGGGAATATCTTCCTGTAGAGATGTATGAGGTGTGTTTTTAATCTTGCAGAGCAAGTGTTAGAACATAAAGTATAACAAAGAGAGAGGCATAATTAAAATATCTACTATTTTCTCAAATGCATTTGGTTGTTTTTTGTCTGTAGCTTAACAGCACTGGAACTTATGACATCACAATAAGTGTCAACTAGGAGAAGGTGGAATGTAAACATTTGCTAATACAACACTAGTGAACTCTCTGGCAAGATAATAGTCAAGATACCACACCGCCTTGTGATTCAGTCAAGAGGAGAGCGTCCTGTCTTATGACCTGATCAACTGTCCTGTCAGAACAATACTCTGTTTGTAACCATGTGTTATGTTCTGTTAATAAAGCGCTCTGCAGAGGAGGTCCGGGGGAGAGCGAGTGTTGGAGTGTTGGGTGCAGCTCTCTCTCCCCTCCTGCAGGAAGCTGTTTGAAAATCCCTTACTGTGCATTTCAGTTCTTGTTTTACAAACCTACATTTTTGAACCCAACAGTTCATCTTTAGCATAAATGCTACAGTGTTTAGTAGCATCACCTGTAACTTATTATTATTTCTTTTTATCCTAATTCTCTTTTTATTCAAGTGGTGTCATCCCAAAAGTTCTCTCCCTTGCAGGCTCACTCCCCTTTAAGTATGCATTCATATTGAGGATTTTTGGCAAACATACTGTAAATTGAATTATACACAACGGGGCAACAGATATTTCAAATGTGTACAAAACTGCATAGATACAGCTAAGGAGGGATTTGGTACTGCTCACTTTCTGCTGGAGGTCTCTTACTGTAAGTATTGCAAAAAAGTAGAAAACAAAAAAAACAAACCACAGGACTTCCAAGTTTGAAGATGTTACACTTCCCATCCAGAAAGCTTTCTCAATTTGAAATGTCTGGAGTAGCGTGTGAGTTCCAGGCTTATAGAGTGGCCCAGCAAAAAACTTGTTATGGCATAGAAAACATGCAAATCTAACCAAAAACCAGGTCCCCTCCTTAGTAATGGGGAGTCATTAAGGTTGTTGTTTGCCTGCACAAACCAGATACTGGCCTCTCTAAAAGGGGAGTCATTAGGGTTATTGTTGGCCTGGCTGACCAGGTGAGATGTCTTCAAACCTGGAAAACAAAGTCCTGTGGTTTGTTTTTTTTAACTTTTTTTTGAATGACTATGACTTGGATAAGTAAGAATCTTCACACGTTTACTGTAAATCAATTTCCTCTCCTCTGTCCCCGCAAACATACTTTGTGAGAAGGATAGCTGCAAAGGCTTTTGACATTATCTAAGCAACCTTCCAGTAGAAGAGGGGAATTGTGAATTGACTGAATGCAAATAGCTGTATTTTCTTTTTTTCTTTTAAGCTGTATTTTCTTAGATAGAAAACTTTGAAACCATTTGTTTGTATGATTTCATTAAATTGTCTCTTTAAATTGAGTTAAGATGGCGTGAGTTGTGAATTGGTACCATTTTTTTCAGGAACTGAATTAAATTCAGTTTGATGAGCTAACTCTGTATATATTGTCTATATTATTATTTTTGTGTTAAATAACCAATGAAATAAGCTTTTAATTTTATTTTAATTTATAGAGATACGCAGATTACCACAGCTAATTAAGACATATAGAACATCACAATAAATCTGTATTCAAAAATATTTGTAGGCATGAAATTTTACTTACACTGGCTTGGATTAATACAAAGAAGCGGGTTTTGTCCTCATAATTTAGCCTCTGTGCCAGTATAATACTTCCTGAAAGGGTGTTACCAACCCTGACTGTGTTGTTAGATTCCTGCAATCAAAGAAAAAAAAATCAAAGCAGAATAATAATTAGATAATTTCCTAAAACATTTTATACAGCTTAGTAGGTCCTTATGCTGCTGTGACTGGCCCATATACCGGATCATTGGGATTGTAAAGGATGCTGTATTCTATATGTCCATTTGGTCCATCATCAATGTCTGTAGCACCATTATTTCCTGAGAAGCCGGTGAAAATGGTAGTTCCAACTGGTGTGAGCTGAAGAAAAAATGTGGGCGAGAAGAAAAATAAATAAATATTTCAAGCAGCTACCTCTGGGCACAACATCAGCATACAAGAGCAAGCTATCTTATTAAACTGGCACTATTGCCTCGATAGCTCCATTAATACAAAGAAATAAAAATAAAAAAGGAAAATGTAGCAGTCAGCAGTAGTCTGAAGGCTTTCGTGCAACACTGACAAAATAACAAAAACTAAGTATGAGAACCACTGCTGTTCCCCAGAGCCCTGAGCAAAGTCCACAGTACCATGCAGCAGGCAAGAAATCTTGTTCAGGGTAGTTGACAGCAATGTAGAGTGACTCACTATACTGTTAGGGTAGCTTCAGATGGCAACAATAATAAGGTATGACAGAAATTTTGAACTTGCAATGCATAAAATAAGTGTAAAAAAACTGCAGAATTTTGCATGAAGCCCCATTTTAGTCTGCAAAACATGATTTTAAAGGCTAAAACTGTGTTTTTTGTTAGTTCTGTCAATTGGGCAAAATGTAAGGAAAAGCACTATTAGTACGATTCACCTTCAGTATTCAGAAAAGCTTAAAGTGCAAAATGTTCCTACTTGACAGTAAACAGAAAAAATATACATAGTCTCTTGGGCTCTTTTGTTATTCAATGCAATTTATCATGCAAAATGTTGTATGATAAATTGTGTGTCTGATAACAAAAGAATCTAAAAGACTATCTTAACATAGATATACTTTCTTACTATTCAATTTAAGTGAATAGTATTCAAAGCATATATATATATTGAAAGACTGAAAAAAAGGAATGCAAGTACATACAAAACTATATATTTATATATTTCTATACAATTTCTAGGCAATATATATTTATAAACCTTTATTAATCGAACAATTGAAAAACTACGCAATTGATTAAATAATTGGCAAAATACTATTTAGTTGCAACTCAAATGACTAGTTCAGGAAGCACTGACTACAGCCACAGTCCATACCTTATGAACTATCCCCTACACTATTAAATGGGCTTTGCTTCATAATACTCTGAGCACAAACACATATTTTCTACCATAGTTCTTTCTTCCAACCAGCTTTCCACTCATACATTTAAACTTTTATATACATATATTTATACTTTTAGTTCTGGCTTTCCATGTTGATTTTGTCAGTAAATGTATGCTGGACAGATATCAAAACAGCCCTCTTCCACATGACTGTGTAGTCCAACATTACCAAAACAGGAAATTTCTGTATAAAAATATTCTCCATCGCTGTTATAGATTACAGAAAAGTTCTGAAAAATTACAATTTGGGGATTTTTTTAAAATACATACCATCTTCTATGCAAAGATTATTTTTCCAAACTAAATCACAGTAATAAATAAGCCTTGATGATATTCTATATCATCAATCTTACAGGCAAACATGTCTAGTTGATACATCTGTGTGGGTTTTTACCAAGGATAAACATTTTAAAAATAAAGAGGTCAATTAATGATGTTTAATACATTGTAATATTTTAAAAAGGTGCAGCAGATTAACATGAAAAACAACCACTGTATGTTAAAACTGGAATACAGTACATTAGTGTAGAAACTATGCAGAGAGAGCTGCCAGGAAAATCTACTATGTTACCTCATTTATAGAAACATAGTAGCGTGGCTGTTGAAATTGGGGACTGTTGTCATTTCTGTCCCTCACAACAATTCGAACTTCGTGTAAAATAACCGTACCGACCAGCTCATTAGTGCATTGGACCTGAACCACAATCGTTGTGATGTAATTAGGTGGCTGAAAGACACAAGAGACAAAAAATATAGAAAACATGTCATTTCGTTGTTGCAGTAATCTACTTTGTTGAACTTACCAAGAGATTTTAGTTGATCGTGATAAAATACTATCAAAATTTTGAGCTAGCAGTTTCCTAAACACTAAAGCATATTTAACTGATTAGAAATTACACATAAGGACCTAAAAATTATCTTTATTATCTCAGGTAATTTTTTTATGTCTTATTTTATAGGTAAAAAAAATAATAATCTAAGGCTCTGTTAGAATAAAATAGAATGCATTTGCCCCTCTATTACTGATAGCCGTGCATGTCACGTGATCAAACTTAAGCAACAAAAGTTAAGTAAAGCAGCAGGCTATAATCCAACTCAGCCTTTCTATTTGTAATGTAAAATGTACCCTGCGCTGCAATTTATCCTATTGATTTTTTTTTAAACATTCCCATCAATAGCTTAACATCAAATCCACCTCACAGCACTTAGTGCATTTGATCTAACCACTTGCCTTAAAATGGCCTTTAATTTGCTAACCACTTTGCCCCCATCTCTCAAATTCCAACCACTCAAACCGATCTATAAGAACAGCATTTATGTGCACCAAATAGGAGCTTAAGTGGGCATGCTGCATAATCTGAGATGCAGGTTTGGGATTGTCCCTGGATTGCAATAACTATTCAATACTGAATCATAATACTATCAAGTACCACACATTTTGCTGTAAAATCATTTATGCCTAAAAGTATTGTGGTTATTACAGTAACTACAAAAAGGCAAAAACAAAAGAGCAAGGATTAAAAAAATTGCATTCATGATGATATACTGTACTTTTTTTTTAGGAGGATACCTACTGCTTTTTAAACACAGATTAACAAGTACATAAAAAAAGATACACTTACAAATACATATATTTTTTTCTTTTTTATATGTTAAAAAAAGTATAAGGACTTTTATCTTGACACTCTTTCCACCTCTCCTGTACTTACATCTCTGTCCAGAACGCGTCCGGTACTGTTGAGGTAAAGTCTCTGCCGTGCTGGTTCCAGTATAACCCAGTAGTCATAGTTGTCAAGTAGTGTCAGGGAGATGGTTCTACCTGGATCGCGGGCCCTTCCATTAATTTGCATGTTTTCCACCAAAACTGTTCCTGTTCAGAAAGAAAGGTATTCATTGAATGCTGGCAACTTTACTATAAGCATTTAAAGTTATGCTTATCATCAAAAAAAAGGAGTGTTGGCCTAGTGGGTTAGAGCAGTGCAATTGTGCTCTGAGAACGTTGCAAATACCCGGTCGATCCCCACAGCCTCCTCTCTGGGTTTCTGAGCAAAACCCTTAACTCCACACTGCTCCTCGGGCGCCGCACAATGGCAGCCCACTTCCATTTACATTACATTACATAAATATTTTGGCAGAACAGCTGGAGCATTTCAATTTATCATTATAATCCAAAGTCACAACAATAATCTGAATGCTTTTTGTAAAACACAAGCAAGCTAAAAATATTTTCACACACAGTATATAACTGAAGTCAAGTACCAAGACCAATTCAATTCATTGTTATTACTAAAATTCGCACTACTTTCAGAAATAATTTCTTATGAGCAAGACATTTAAATTGATAGAAAGAACCACACTTTCATTAAGTGGTTTTAAATAGTTAGGGATAAAAAGTTATTGATGAATCTTCAGTCATTTCAAACTATCAGCATCATTACTTACTGTACTTCATCTATGTAACAGATTAAGAAACCTCTTCATAAAGGATCAATAATAAGATTAAGAAGTAAATAAGAACTGAAATGATCAGTAGCCTCTCTATCAACCTTAATAAAAGTGTGAAATGTGTCCTGCAAGCACTGATTTGAAAAACTTGAGCATACTAACACATTCTGAGGCTTTCAACTACAATGTTTCCCAAAATAGTGTTGTTGTTGTTGCATGCATGCTAATCTGCACACATCGAAATGCATGCTGTCATAAAGACATTTATAGTACACCTGAAATAGGAAGTAAATCTTAAACTCCTACTGACAATATTAAACATATACTGCTGAAAAAAATTTAGCGAACGCTCCACACAACCTAGATCTAAATGAATGAAATATTCTCAGTGAAAACTTTGTTGAGTACACAGAGAAATGTGGTGACAACAAAATCTCACAAAAATAATCAATTGGAATCTAATTTATAAACCAATGGAGGCCTGGATTTAGAGTCACGCACAAAATGAAAGTGGAAAAACAGTACAAGCTGATCAACCTTTGATGTAATCTCCTTAAAAAAACAGGTGAATAGGAGGCTCAGTATTGTGTGTGGCCTCCATGTGCCTATATGCCCTCTCTACAATCCCTGGGCATGCTTCTGATGACGTGGAAGAAGGTCTCTTGAGGGATCTTCTCCCAGACCTGGACTCTACCACGTCCTGGACAGTCCTTGGTGCAAGCTGATGTTGGTGGATGGATCGAGACATGATGTCCCAGATAGGCTCAATAGTATTGTGGTCAAGAGAACACGCGGGACAGTCTATAGCTTCAATGCCTTCATCTTAAATGAGCTGCTGAACTACTCCACATGAGCTCTAGCATTGTCCTACATTATGAAGAGCACAATGTGTCAGTGGCTAAATTGCCAATCCTGGTGTTCTCTGGCAAATACCAAGCATCATGCACAGTGTTGGGCTGCAAGAACAATCCTCATCAGTGAACATGACCCCTCATACCATCCAAATGGAGTCAGTTGGAGTTCTCCTGAGTGGTCCTGCTGCTGGGTTGTTGTCCTCCTGCAGCCTCCTCCATGTTTCCTGGTGTACTGACAGCACCTCCAACCTCTAGATGCTACACTGATAGACACAGCAAACCTTCTTGCCAGAGCTTGCATTGATGTCCTCTCCTGGATGAGCTGCACTACCTGAGCTCCTTTTGTGGGTTGTAGAGTCCGTCTCATGCTATCAGTGTGAAAGAACCACCAACATTTAAAAGTCACTAAAACATCAGCCATAACTGAGAAATAGTCTGTGGTCCCCACCTGCAGAACCTATCCTTTATTGAGTGTCTTGCTAATTGCCAATCATTTCCACCTGTTGTTTATTTCATTTGCAAAACAGCACGTGAAATTAAGTAGCAATCAGTAATGTTGCCTAAGTGGACAGTTTGATTTCACAGAAGTTTGATTCAATTGATGTTATATTGTGTTGTTTATGAGTTCCCTGATTTATTTATTTTTAGGATTGTACAATGACGAAAATAACATGAGGTAAAGTTAAGTATAAAAAGTTCAAAATAGCATAAAACAGGAGAAGGTTGTTTTTGTCTGTTGATTGACATAAGGTCTCTATGCTCTAAACATCGGGGGTTATCTCCACCAGCTATTCTAAAGAGCAGCTTGACACAATATACTGAAAAACAATGAACTAATAATTTAGCAAATAACCGTGAACAAACCATGAAGGCGTGCCTTGTGCACAGTTTTGTTTTATTACATCTAGGAGTAAGAAGAAAACTTGTTGGGGGACAAGTAATAGACCCCCATATACTGTGAATACTTAATGATAGCAAAATTTATTTTTGCTATCATTGCTATCAGAATGGGTTTTCCACAATCTGTTGATAGTGGTGACAGTCATAGACCAAATCACAGGATCACTAGATGTTACATTTGCGAACCCTCGCCAGCAGGAGCTGATGCTCGCTCACCATGTTTTTTTCCATATAGATCTGTCCACATAGTTAGAAATTTCCTAGCTTGGTGTGGATTTATTGTCTACACGGATGCCACGCCGAGATGCATGGAAGCCCAAAATTACGTGATTTAGTTGCGCAGACCTCACGGGTGCATCAAGCACAAACCAAGCTTTATGATATGGTGTGCGCCAGGGACATGATTAAATGGACAGTGTCCTTCACTTCAAAGGCAAATGTTTTTTTTTGGGGGGGGGGGGTTAAAATTATTTATAACAAATTCATTTACACCTAAGTGACTCTAAAGTCATTATTTCATCATACATTGCCTATGGGTGATTCTAAAGTATCTTAAAAGTATTATTTTTATTATTCCTTTATTTAACCAGGAAAAGTCCCATTGATATTAACAATCTCTTTTTCAAGGGAGTCCTGGCCAAGACAGCGGCAAAAGATTACATTACAAATTACATTACAGTTTACAATTACATCTCTCTATAATTAGAAATTCATAAAACAGTAACAAACCATAGATCTCATTTCCAAACCTTTGAGCATTTGTCCGATTGGAATCAAATCCTTCAACTTGCAGTCTTTCTGAAGATTGTTCCATGCTGTGGGGGCAGAGTACTGAAAAGCTGTCTTTCCAGCTTCAGTGCGGACACTAGGTACAGACAGAAGCAAAGACTCTTGAGAACGTAGAGAATACAGTCTAGCCGCTCTTGGTTGAATGTACTCACAGAGGTATGAGGGGAGCAGACGCAGAATACCCTTATAAATGATCATATACCAGTGAGTGAGTCTACGAGTCTCTAATGCTGGCCAGCCCACACGTATGTAAAGTTCACAGTGGTGTGAGCGAGGCTTACAATTTATGATAAATCGTAGGGAGGCATGGTAAACTGAGTCTAAAATTTTTAGAACTTGATCTGGGGCATTGATATAGATTGGGTCACCATAGTCCAGAATGGGTAAAAACGTTGCAGCTACCAGTCTCTTCTTCGAATTAAAAGAGAAACAAAGCCTATTCCTGAAAAAGAAGCCAATTTTCAGTCTGAGTTTCTTAATCAATTGTTCAACATGAGGTTTAAAATTTAGACTTTCATCAATTAAAATTCCTAAATATTTAAAAGATTGAACCCTTTCTATCTCTGACCCATCCAAGGTGATAAGAGGATAGCTATTTTGCAATTTTGTCTTTGTTTTTGAAAATAACATCATTTTAGTTTTATTTGAATTTAAAGAAAGATCTAGTTTTAAAAGCCTGTGCTGAACCGAATTAAAAGCAATTTGTAAAGTAGAAACACACGCACTAGGGTTTTTTCCAAAACTGTAAAAAACCATGTCATCAGCATAAAAATGGTAGTTAGTGTCTATAAGATCCTGGCCAACATTGTTCACATAGATAGTAAATAGTAGAGGCCCAAAAACGGAGCCTTGGGGCACTCCTTTAGTTAGTGACAATGTACAGTATTTTCACGACTATAAGGCGCACTTAAACGTCTTTTTTTCCCCTCAAAATGTGCGGTGCGCCCTTTGGTGCGGTGCGCCCTATGTGTGTTGCAACTGCGACTTTTGAGACCACCTCATTGAGGAGACGATGAAAGAGTGGCTGAATGTAAGGAGACCAGGTGTTTTTTTTCCACTCATCACCATCGCTGTTAATCTGTGACTCCATGCATGTCCATTTCACAGCTGATGTGAAAAACATGGTGAAACAAATTAAGCTGTGCTCGCTGTTATTCAACCGCTAAACATCGGTGTGAACCGGACCCAGCAGGTGCAGCAGAAGCAGCGTGTTTACATGCAAAGTCAATGGTTGACGCACGTATAGGCGCAGCAAAAGGTCCCGCAGCGCGTTTTGAGCAGCAGGCGCAGCGCGTTGGGAGCGTTTAGCATCTGCCAACGCGCTGCTGCTGCTCGAGATGGAAAAATTGAAGTTTTGCTGCTGGAAGCGCTGCATCAACCAATCAGAGAAGCTGATCTGGGAGCTGACAGCGAGACAGACACATCGCTCTGATGACATATAATATTAAGGCAAATGAAAAAGGCTGGATGGATGAGGAGATGATGAAAGCGTGGCTGAGGGAGGTGTATGTGAGGAGACCAGGTGCTTTTTTCCACGCATCACCATCGCTGTTAATCTGTGACTGCGTGCCCATCTCACAGCCGATGTGAAAAAAAGGTGAATCAAATGAACGCTGTTATCCCGGGGGGTGTGACAAAGGAACTTCAACCGCTCGACATCGGTGTGAAGCGGCCGTTCAAAGTAAGGCTGCGAGCGCTGTGGGAGCGATGGATGGCCGACAGAGACCACAGTTTCACGATAAGTGGAAGGCAGCGCCGGGCAAGTTACGCCACCGTTTGCGGATGGATTGTAGATGCTTGGGCTAACGTGTCTGCTGGCTCTGTTGTTCAAGCTTTCGCAAAAGCCGGCATTATTTCTGAGGAGCCACCCGGCACGGAAAGT